GCGAATAAGGAGAACATTCTGTAATATTCTCATCGCCAACAATTAATGACGGTGAAAAAATATATTACAAACTTTATTTTGTAATACCATAAACAACAAGAATTATACATTAATCAACAATATTTGTTAAAAACAAGTTTTGTTACCGCGTTCGTTCCTCGAGGCGTTAGCTTCTATCTCTAATTTTCTACCAAGATTTTTAATATGTGTAACTTGACTATCCTTTAGTATGCAGCAAAACTGAAAATAGTTGTCATCGCTTCTTGATTTTAGTATTTTAATAAAATGAAAGATTCTTTCTTTCTTACTCTGGCAACCATCTTTAAGTTTGTCAACTTCGTCATCAGATATTAACCCTATACTTCGTAAATCGAATACAATATCCACTAAAGGGACATCACTCAAATCTGCGGATATTCCTTATCGATGATATCGGTGATGTATTTGCTCAAAACCATTGTATGAAATACTTTTGTCAACTCTGCTTGGAAAATTATTTGAGAAGAAATGTGACATTAGATCAATATTACTTTAAAATAAAGTACAGCGCTGCAAAAGAACAGGTAAAGGCAAAAAAGGTTTAATCCTAGCTAAGACGATCCTAGTTTGCAATGAGATCAAAGTTCAGATTTTTGGCTTCGTTTGTATGCTTGATTTTGTAAAAACTATCAAATAGGTAAAGGTCAGGTCAAAAGATGAACTAATGAATCACTAATGTTATGTGGAAATATCCAAGATCAAATTAAAGATAAAATGGGAGCAGCTTAATTACCGGATATGAATTAACGAACATATATATATTTACGAACATGTCTAAGAACTACAGTGAAACTAAACACACTGCAGTTACGTTAAGGTTAAACAATCGTTTTGGAGCGTAAAGTTTTAATAACATTTATTGACACTGCTAAAATCAGACAAGATTTACTCTATCACAAAATATGTGGTACAAAAACTGAAGGCTTTCACAGATTCAATGCAATGACATTACAATTAGCTCCAAAATTCAGTTTATGACAAGAAGGGTATGAATAATTAATGGATGGATGGCTATCTTATAAAAGTCTAACATAGACTGACAGAGTATATAAAAAATGACGGAAGTATGGACAATCATCGACCAGTATGCACGCCGTAATAATAGTGCAAAGAATAATAGCAAAGAATTTTAATTGGTTAATTGAATTTTCGTCATTACTATGCAAATAAAATTGTATAGTATGAAATCAAACGGATAAAAAAGACTGTACACCAAGACCTAATAGAGTGATTTACTTGAATTTTTATATCATCATTAGTATCCCTACTGACATTTGTAAACATGACATAAGTAAATCACTAATGACTTGAATTTTTATATCATCATTAGTATCCCTACTGACATAGTACTGCTTGCATAATTATAATTTACTCGTATAATTGTCACGCTAAGATATAAAGCTAAAGAATTTTGAATCAGTTGATTGAGTTTCGCCATGAGTAGGTAAATAAAATTCTATAGCATGAAATCAAACGGATAGACAAAACTGTACGCCATGTATGGCAAATAATATTTTTATAACTCTAAGGTTGGTTTGATCGGTATGGGTTCAATAAAATCCGTTAAAGTTCATATTCTTTACTGCTACGTGAGTTACTCTATGGACTACACGTATATGAACAACTGCATCAACTTTATGAATCATAACGTCCAGCTTGTTAGTGCTTGATGATTTCTAAATAGAGTTTGATGAGAAAGTGTAACACTTTAATATACACTGCTGCATTGACTTCTTGATGTTCAAGCTTGTGATGTTTGTGATTTTATTCTTAGAAGGTTCATTTGTTAATAATACTTATGATCATTGGTAATTTACTTTTTGCATGGGAGTTTTCAATGCATGTTTTAAAAAGTCATAATACTCTATTCTGTGATGGACGGATTTACTTTTGTTGCCTTTGGTCATAGCTGTTATTTGTTAATTTCTTGATAAATCAAAAGCAACATCGCTGCATTGAACACTTAATATCAAGCAATACTACAATTCAAACAAACAGAGCTATAATTTGTGGTACAGTCCTATGCATATGCTACACTAATACAGTGCACCCATATAAATAATGCTTAGTTACAGAGTGTGATAGCGTTAATGTAACTGAATTAAAAATAATTTAAAATAACTATCATGAATAGAACTAGCTGCCACTTGTTGCGACCACACTAAAACACTCTACACGCTTCCTATTTTGAAGGTGTCCATCTCTGATTTTATTTCAATCTCACCTATTTATACTTATTTTACTATTGCGATCATTACTGCCCTTCTTATTTGCATAATTATAGTGCAGTCTCATAACAGTCAGGCAACGTACAGCTATATTCAAATATTAAGCTTAGCCCAGATTACGAATTGGTGCTTACGACAAACAACAACGAATAGTTAGCTGAGCACAATAATATAAGTATCCTAGCGTACCCCTATCGTTAGATTGTAACTCAATCCATGTATGCTGACATTCTAGCTACTATGACTATTAACAGTTAATATACATATCAAAAAGGAACAAAATCAATCAAACATCTTAAGAAGAACATAACCTCGAAAGGCAATCAGCATTTGTGTTAAATAAAGCTCATTTAGAATAAAAATTGATATTAAAATCGGACAGCAACACCATTGCAAATAATTAATTGGTGTATATAACATGCAGTTTTATAAATTACACTACAGTAGTAGTAGTGTAAAGGCAAGGCTTCAGTAGAAACAATCTTCATTTCAATATTCCTCAGTACTACAAAAATAAGGAGGCTACCCTATATCATTGCATTTACTTCTGGTGATTAACAGAATAGTGTTACCATGGAATGATCGATTTAATGGACATAATTATTCGTTTAATTAATTCATTATATATAAATCATTATGTAAGATTATTACGGTATTGAGGTGCTATCATATAATAATTTTGTTTCCAATATAGATCGTTTTAGATCTGGACTATTTTTAAATATAAATAACCATTTATAATATATTGCTTACTGGTGTGTGATGACTTTAAAGAAGAGAATCAAATTTTATCTTTTCACTCAAATTATAATATTGACACTAAGACTGCTTAGCTTTGGAGAATGTAGCAGGCCTACGAAAGACGAAGACTATTCCTCTCCAGATTAACTTAAGAATTATAATCGTGATAATTATCATCATACATAAAATTGCAAAAATATCGAATAAATAAAGTTGATACCATGGCAAGTTATATTCTTCCGATCGCAAATAGTGTCCCCCTTTACTATTCAAGGCAAATTCAATCCAATCAGCAGCTTCTTCGACCGGTGTTCTTCCATTAGGACGATTTTTAATTAATTTTGAGACTATAGATGCATTTCCAAGTATCCATTGATCAGTAGTGGCATTCATAATACCAAAATACAAGTCATCGCTATTGATTTCATTAATATCCAAAACTACTCCAATATTCCTATATAATATCTTTTGGGCATTAACAATTTGATCTCCAAATATCGGAATACCCACCATAGGTATACCATGATAAGCAGCTTCCAGAATGCTATTCATGCCACAATGTGTAACAAACCCTTTAATGTTGGGATGGCCTAAAAGATCATTTTGAGGTAGCCAATTAAATGTCATGACATTCTTTGGGATAGAATATTTATGCTTTTCTGAATATTTGCATATTACATTATATGGTAGACGACCAAGAGATTTAAATAGCATTTGGACGTCAGTTATGTACTTTAAACCGGTAACCACAGAGCCAAATGACATCACTATCGTTCCGTTTGGATTTGCTGAAACAAATTCTTGCAAGTGAATTGGTAATGCTTTGGCTGGCTTAGGAAGGATTGGACCTACTACCTTTGTTGCTGGTGTAACAGGACGTGGATAGTCGAGTGCAAAATCACCATTAGCGATGAGAATCGATGACCTTCTATTGTAGAAAGTTGGTGGTGTCTGCAAGCCTAAATTGGTTATATTGGCGGCGGCATACATGTGTCCCAACAT